CCCTTCATCATCTCTGTGGCTCTGTGCTGGAGTCTTTCAAGCAGCACCCTGTCCTTCGTGAACTGAGGGGCCCAGACCTGGAGACATTATTCCAGATGTGGTCTCACCAGGGCAGAGTAGAGGGGGAGGAGAACCTCTCTTGACCTACTGACCACTCCCCTTCTAATACACCCCAGAAGAATGCTACAGCAATGGTGCTGCTACACCAGCTGCAGTGTGAGGCAGGCAGAGAGCAAAATCTGTAAGGCATGGATTGAGAAGCCAACAGGAAATACGAAGGGAAGGACGGAAGAGAGGAAACCCCCTAAAAAGGAAACCTTTTCTCTCCAACTGGCAAAAGGTAATTTTGAAAAGAAGCAAAATTCAGAGCTTTTGCCACTTAGTTTTCTAAGATGTGAATGTGGAAAAGAACAAATTCAGAAGCCATGGCACTAAATTTCAACATAACTGAAATCCTCCACAGTCTGAATCTATGAATTTGCTTCATCTTTAGACATAAATAAACAACTCTGAGATAACAGATGTTATCTGAGCTACGCATGCCTGAATGAGTGGTTCAGAGTCAGAAGCATTTGTTTTTAATATAATCCACAGAACTGCACAGCCAATATCACCAAAAAGTTGCTGTTTTCTTAGTGATCACAGTATATTGCAGATTCAATGGGTATACTGGGTAGTAAGACAAAGCATTTCAATGCACTGGGCATCATTTTTTGTTTAAATGAAGGGCTTGAGTACAGAATAAAAAACCCCCAACACTTCGCAGTTTATACAGTTTCATATTAATTGAGCCTCCCCAGTCACATTGCAGATCTATCCTCAAAATTTGCTCTTCTAATAAAAAATCCCATGTATCTTACAAATACAAAAATAATGTCTATAATGTAATAATGATCTCCCTAATGAATGAACATAAGATTTAAAAGACAACTGAGAGAAAATATACCTCTAAACTACAAGAGTCTCAAAATGGTACCTAGTCTGGTAGCTCCAACATGGGGGTTGTGGTGAGGAATAATTCAAAAGCCAAGTTCAAGACCTAAGTTTAAATGATATAAGAAGCAGGGACATTAAGTTTCAGTCTACCTTGAAGGAAATAATTAAAAATACATAAATTTTGCAAGCGAGTATGACAGTAATCATAGACCTGCCTTAAAAACTATTAGACTGGTCTGTGCTGACTCTAGTCTACAATGACACAGTATTTTTCTCTGAAGTTTCAAAAATTGCAAAAGGTTAAAACTTGTTAATAGAATTTTGTTAGAACCATCAGAGTCAAGGCTGAAAGAAAGTATGAACTGAGACAGTGGACTGAAGCTACCTGCTAAAATCTGCAGAGGTTTTCCTATTTCAGAAGAAACAAGCAAAAGAAGTCCTTTCTGTTTCAGTCAAAATAGGTTGAATTTCCTTAGAGAGTGACTTGTATTTTTGCAAAAAAGGCCTCTTTTGTCTTCAGAGCCATGGCAGGTCTGGAGCCAACCTGTGTGCTTGAAAATCTTTCCTCTAGCTAGAGGAAAGAAAGAGAAGATGACACCAGAATGCGTTTGCTAGCACCAAATAAAGAATCTAGCACTATCAAAGCAGTCGCAATCCTCGTTTCACGCTGCTTTGCTTCTGTCAGTGCAGGATATAAAAGCATCTTTGGCTGTATGTTTGATAACAGAAATGAGTACCTTGTCATGTTTTAAATAAACAGCTGAAAGACTTCTTAAGTGAACGTGACAGTATTTGAAATGTACCATGCTGCCACCCTTAAGATATGCCAATCACCATTAATAGCAACAGATTTGCTATTCCAAAACAAATAAAACCTGCAGAGTTTTTCTGCTGAATGAAGAGTTGATGAGTGAACACAGAAGCAAAATTATCACAATAGCCCGTTAGCCTGTCGATGGAAATTACTTTCATTTGTCTGTATTCACAAGGGTTAGTAAACAATAACACTTCAGCTAATATAGTTTTTGTTGTATTCAAATTGAATGTGAAATACAGGCTGACATTATAAATGGATGTTTCACTCTTTTGCACTGGATTTCTGAGGTCTTCTGATCCTTTACGTTTAAATTGGTCTGTAAGTTTCATATATTTTGGTATCAACCCTATTAAATCTGTGTCATTTTTCCTTCTAGCAAATTAAGGACTGTCCTGCCTGTTGTTTGAAAGAGAGATATATCTATAGCTTCCCTCACTTGGTAGGAACTAAGTGAATATTTTATATTATTCCAGTGGATTCTATAGTTGTGCTGAAAATTCACTTGGTAGGGTGCTAAGATCACTCTCTCCCTCTAAATAAAAGCCTCTCACCTTCCAAGTTCTGTGAATTTCTTTTTCTGAAGACCCACAACAGTTTTGGTGCTCCCAGGTGCCACATCCCACCAGCAGGTTTTGCTAAAACCGAGTTGCACCTCATGATCCTGTTACCATGAGAAATGGACGCAGATCGCGAGCAAAATCATTTTCTTTGGGTTTTGGGTTTTTGTTTGTCTGTTTGTTTTGGGTTTTTTTCTCCCAGGATATTCTGCTTTATTTTGGTCATCTGGTCCCACTTCTTTTCATCTAAATTCTTCTTCATATTCATGCTTAATTCAAGGCTTCCCACTAAGCCCTCCTCCAGCACTCATTTTTACTGACTGGTCAAAAAAACCTTTTCTTTGTAAGCTAACTGAGCATCTATTCAAGGGCTCCTTTGCAGGCTACTACTGTGGACCTATGACTCAGGAAACTTCTGGACACCAGGCAACACAGGTTTACCTGGATACACATAAGGCAAACAATTCAGATAATGAGACTCAAGTGTGTGATGAAACTAGCTTTGCCTCCTCTAAGCCTTTGCTGGGCAATCTCCTATAAAGCTTTTAGGGACTAATGATGTTAAGGGGTGCTAAGGCTAATATCAGGCAATAAACCTATGTAAAATTACTCACATTCATGCAGTAAAGAAACTAATACACAAGTTTTAACCTAACAGGGAGACAGATGTAATGAGTCTAGTTCTGTAACGGACCAACCGCTCTCTCACAGTTGGATTCCCTAAACAGTTACACTGGGAATATTTTGGACAGAAAGAAAACTTTGTAAACCCACCCACAACTTTTGTAGCTCTCAGCTGTCTCTGAAGTCTTTGATTTTCTTTAAAAAAAAAATCCACAACAAACATGAAACAATCTCTTCAGCTTTCCTCAGCTGGCCTTCACTGCTTTTTTGACATTTTAAAAGTAATGTTTCTAGGTCAATGTGTTTAAAATCACACCTTGTGGAAATGCTCAACTTCAGCTTTTCTTCATTTTTTGGATGGTGGTGTTAAATTTAGATTTTCTTTTCCCTTCTAGGAGTTTCATACTTGATTTTCATGCATACCTTTAGCTTTCAAGGATGTTATCTGACTGTTTCTAACAGGGAATAATGTAATATCTAAATTACATGTTGCCATTGTTACATAAATATGATGTTACAGTATTCCATCCAAATTCATGTTAAAATCCAAAAAACTATCTGGGAGTTTTGAGGCTGCAGTGGCCATGGCTCTTTGTAGAGCAGATGATTCGTGCAATTACAAATAGGTGTACCTGCAGTGCCAGTAGTGCTGATGAACAATTACAGATATGCCAGAAGGTATTAGATCTGTTTTGTTGTTGAGTGTTATCATATAAACATTCTTTGTTCTCACATGTAGCTGTGTTTTCTTATTCTGCTTTGCATTACAACCCTAATTCGTAGACCAGAATTTTAAGTAGTATATACCAAGTCAAGATCTGTAGTCCCCGATGTCTTTAGGATGCATGGTTAAAGCTCTGCCAGAAGAGGTAGATTGTGAAGGACTTGGGAATATAAACAGAATTGGTGAATAGCCTGGGCTATACCAGATGCTAGAGGGGATTTAGAAAGCATCCAGGAAGGCCAGAGAAGGTTGAGTCTAAATATTACATAGGAAAATTGAGATAAATCAGAAGAGGGAGGAAAGAATAACAGACACCACAAGACCATTTAGCACTGGTGACTAGTCTAAACTTGGTTCAAAAGCTAAACCCCAACATTTTCTTTCTGACTGCGTAACAACATAGCACTCACATTAACTATGAATAATTCTCCAACACATGATGAGAAATACTGTTATTTTTCCTGAGAAAAATAATCTTTCTCTAATTAGACAACTACAAACCAAAACAAGCTAACATGTAGTGCTCCAAACTTCTCACGGTTCCCACAGTGGGCAGCCAAATGTCTTAGAAACCTTACAGCACAAGTCTTTCCAGTGCTCCCAGTCCCCCATGGGCTGTGGAAGGGAGGCAGGGAAGAGGAAGGTCTCTACAGCAACAGGGAGGGTATATAGATTTCTCTGGGAGGCAGAGTCTCCCTTTGTCTCTTACCTTGTTGCACAAAGGATCCGTACACAAACCACATGGAGTTGTAGAGGGTTGTGGAGGTCATGGATCCCATCTGAAGGCGCGGGGGGTTGAGCCAGTTCAAGAGGTAGACCAGTAGCCCTACTAACAGCACAGTGCCAGCTATGCATGCCCACAGGGAGAGGTCAAACGGTGCCAGGCAGGCAAACATGTCCACTGTCTTCTCCGCCTTTCGAAGCAGGACACCCACCGAGTAGTCCATGTAACGTGTTGTGAAGTCCACCACATTTTCCCTGTCCGGGGTGATGGTTAAGGCAGAGATCCCTATATCAGCTCTCTGAGGAATGAGGGAGAAAGAACAACATACATAAGCAGGAGCTACAGAAAAGGTTTTTGTTCCTCTGTGATTTATAGCAGCTAAAGTTATGGAGAAGCAGATGCCAAGGCAACGTCTTAAGCATCATATATGCGAACACAGAAATGTGACTAAGACTTGAACAGAATAGCTGTACCATGTCTCTTTGTTTCTGTAAGCAAACCTCACTTGCTGGACTCTGACACATTAGCTTTCCATGTTGTTATTTTCCAAGGAATCAAAATACTTCAAATAGAGTTAACAGCTGGAGGAAATCTACTTTGGGTCATTTTTCTCAGCCTAGCTTACTGAAGCCATCATTGTCATTGTGTCGAAAGGCAGACCTTGTGTATAGCATCTCCAATTAGAGGAAATTAGTTGCCTGACAGGGCCACAGGTTATCCAATATTTTGATGACATGATGATCATGACAAAGGGTCACTGCACTGGGGGTGCTGAAATTCTGAAAAACATCAATTTTGGCTGCAGAGTCTGAAGTGCAGAAAAGGAAATACTCCATGCAGTTCCTTTACTATTAATTCCTCTATATCCTCCTGCTAAGCAATTCTTCTCTATGCCAACCTGTCCCGCAGCTACCTTGGACCTGCTTTGTGCCGTTTACATTTTTTGTAATTTAAAGAACCCATTTCATATGAGAAGAGGATGAGTAACATTCCTTGATCTAATCATTGTATTTCACAGCATGTCCGGGTATTAGGTCTCCAGAGACATCAGACACAACTACAGCAGGTGCTATTTCACTTTTCACAGGTACAATTAGAACTGCAGTGAAAACAAGAAAGGGTATTTAAAGCAGACACTTTAACAACATTTTAAAAAGCCCAAATACTGAACAAAAAGTCTGTAAATTCTAGATATTTTAATATGAAATAGAGTAGTTAAAGTACTTTAAGCTGCTACTAGTTTGATTTAATCCATTTATGTTCTGCCTAAAGCAGTTTGCGCTCCTTTGGAAGAGGTTGAGGAGAGCACAAAGGCTTGAAAGTACTGTGTCAAATTTTATTAACTCTCTTGAATGTCCTTCTTCTTGCCCAAAGAAGGCAGAGATTGCTAGCTCCTTAGAAATGTAATGTGAAATGTTAAGTGGGAAGGTATGGCAGCTGAAACTGATTAGAATCAAATTTGCAAATCATCTGGGCTCTTTTAATAATACCATCTGCAAAACACTCTACAGCCCATGGTACAAACATACCTTTTTAATCACAGTGCACTTAAGACTTTGGTTTAAATGACATTACTTTATATTAATTGTTCGCTAGCTTGAGAAAGTGGCGGAAGATAGCTGGAGGCCTGATTTGGACAAAAAAGTGTTTGAAAATACTGGTTTGCTTAAAAGCCATGAATTAGAGCTTCAGCTTTAATTTGTGGGTTAGATTCTCCTGTGTCTTAAGTGAAGCTGTGTTGATGAAAGCATGACTTCATGAATTCACTTCATGTCCCTTCCTAACAATTTTTTGTGAGTGATGATTTAACTGCCCTTTGCTCACGGGCAGCAGCAAACTCAGTCAGTAATCCAAGTAAAAAGTTCAACAGAATTGTCCACAGAAACATTCAGATCATCTGAGTCTCTATCCTCTGATTATAAAACTTCTGGTCAACAAGTGGCTCTAGTGATTCACCGTATCTTCTAACGGTTAAGTCCTAGCTCCATTGACCAATTTACAAAGCAGTCATCATTAGAACTGTTTTCCACTGTTGTGAATAGAAATGTATTTTTAAAATAATTTACAAATGTAAAAGTCCATTCTCTATATCAATAGTTGTCAAACAGGAAAATATGGTTACATTTAATGGATAGAGTAATTTGTTTGGGTTTTTGTTGTTGTCGTTTTGTTTTTTTTTCCTGAATGTATATCAAAAAGTGAAATAGGAATTCAGGGTTAAAGGAGGACACATGGAAACAAGAAGTCCTAGACTTAGTCCCTGCTGTTTAACTTTAGCTGTGTTATTAATTACCAGCATGTTACTAAAATACTTTCCCACCACACTAGATTATTGTGAGGTGCTAATTCAAGTTGTATTTGTAAGATGTTTAAAGATTCTTCACTGAAAAGCAATACACATAAGGAAAGATACTTTTAGCATATAATAGATTACTGTAGGACTGAATGACTAACAGAATTTTCTTCCACCTTTTTTTCCCCTTTTTTAAAAGAAAAACATATTTCTCCATGAAATACATTGAAGGGCATTGCATGACAAAGCACAGTATGTGGTATTTGTGGAAATACTGCTTCTATTTTACATCTCTGGGAATCAGTCTCTCCAAATTCTCCAGCATTATGGTTCCACTCTGGTTATCAGTCAGCTGTGACAGAGGAACAACGTTGTCATAATGGAAATGTTGCATTTCCTTTGTCATACTGCAGCAGCAATCATGATATAATTATGTCTGGCGATTAAAGAGTGGTAGTAAGGTGAAAAATCGAAAGGAGAGCACCAAGTCCTGACATCTCAGTGCTCCTGTGTTTCTTTTTTTCCTTTTTTTTTAAAAAAAAAGGTTACAGTGAAATATGAAATCATGGATTAGCATACTAAATGGAATCATAAACACCGGTTTATTAGAACACTACGTTTAGCACAAAACCAAGCTTAAGCTTAACTTAATAGCCGACCTACTGATGTGAGTGTTCTTAATTACAAATAGATTCTGCCTACTTGTATCAAAATTGGAAGGTGAAAAAAATTAAATGCTTGTCATTAGCATGTCAAATTGGATCAGAGAAGACATCAGTTTGAAGAAGTCAAGGTTCACTTAGTGCTTCTGAGATAGAAAAGGAAATGCATGCAATTATGTCAATATTTAGATGTAAAGCTGCCAATCTGAATTATAAACATGTAAAACTCTCCACTCACAAAGTTTCCACAGTGCCAAAATCAACCAACTATCAGCATCTTAGACGACTGTTTAACACATTTCTAACATATGAGACTGTGACTCCTGAAATTGACTGACTGAAAAAAACAGCAGAGGGTATTATTTTTCTTTATGTGACTTGCTTAGGAATTTATATCCTTAACAACAGATCTCTTGAGGTCATTGCAGAGCAACATTACGAGAATCAGCAAACACAAAATAAACGACCAAATGGGTCTGATAGCATTGTTACTGGTGTCACAGAACCAGTTTATTAGCAAAGCCTAAAAATCCCTGATAGGCCCCTATGCTTAAGCAAGCACATTTCATACACATAGAAAGCAATCTTATGATGATTCCTGTCGTTCATGATCAAGAACAGGGAAAATAAATGAAACTACTTTAAATCGCTCCCATGAGGCCTTTCATTTTATCCATTTTCAATGTTAAATCAAATTTCAATGAACGCTGGAAGCAATAAACCACAGTCCCACATGTTGTGCAGTTATTAAGATGGACAGGCAAAAATTAATCAGAGTGACATTTTTGCTCAAGTTAACACACGTGCACCCAAATAATTCTTTTTCTCAGCTATTATTTTTTCTTCTCGCTTTGTCCTCCCTGTATGCTCTCTTCCTTCCTAAGCTACTACCCTCAGGAAGATGCACTAAAAAACTAGCCTCGTAAGAGGCTTCTACTTGGCTTCCAATTTCTCTTAGAAATGCTTAGGCATGCATTTAGTTTTCCTTTTCTGAGGGACTTAAGTGGAATCAGGCAGTTTTTCCTATGCTGTTTGCTTCCTGATGGGTCCTCATTGGAAAAAAAACCCAAACCCTAGCAATCAAGGTAGGATGGTGAAACGTTGGAAATAATGGTTGATGGATGTGAATATCGTTGTGAAGTCCAGAGCTGTGAAAAGCCTACTGTCCTCTCCTGGAAGTGGCATTAGCCACTTCTCTTGCATGTCACACAGGCTCATCCCTCTGGTAATGTGGACTTGAGGGCAACTAAAGGAAGTGCTGTGAAAAGACACAGATGACCAACAGCAACAGAAAGATTTGTCATAAAGCGCAGCTTCCGTGACATAGTTTTAGCCTTTCCACAGAAAGCTGCTGCTGTCTGAACTAATCCTGTTTGTGAGCTGAAGCTCTGTGGGACGCACTGAAAGCCCTGGTCATTCGACAGGAGAGGGGCAAGAGCACCACATGCTTCTCTCACAGAGCATTTCTCATCCAAAGACCTTCTGGTTCAGGTGCTCAGCAAACAGAAAGCTTTCCATAGCATGGTTACGTTCAGTTTATTTTGACAGGAGAAGGCATATGGAGCAAGGGTGTACCTAATACAGGTCTTGACAATCAAAGAGGCAGAGGCTTGAATCAGCTTCCAAATTCAAATTAAAGACCAGTTGCTTTGGTCTGCTGATTCCAGCTCCTATTTTAGCAGCCAACAGAGACCTTGTCTTCAAAGCTGGAACAGTGAACCTGGCATAATGTCATGTCCGTGAGGCCAGCTGTGGGCAGCTGGACATGTACTTGGCAGTGCAAACCCTGGCACTGCAGCTCAAGCAGGGCTGCTCCAAATGAGACCAGCTCGGGACTGCTTTCGCTGACACAGGACCTTCACCAGAGCCTGCTGCACGCTGAATCAAGTTAACGCAAACAGCATATATTGATCTTGAACACAGAAATTACATGTGTACTACAGCAAGTGCCCTTTCGTATGGCACAACTTCTGTAGTAGTCATAGTCATCCTTCTCAATGAGATGCACTCAAAAAGAGAAGGCAGCTATTTTCCATTACCCATGAGTGGGACTTGTCTTTTGCAGAAATACATTGTTCCCAACTCATTTCTGGCTCATACACTAACAGGCAAAGAGCCCTCCCTGTGTTTCTGGATTTCCTCCACGTGTTGGGCAGACTACCATGTAAGACTTGGTTGGGAACACAAGGAAACACTCTGTTTTAAACAGGTTAGACCTTTAATTTAAAACTGGTCTCTGCTCCTTTGCTTCCCCTTACAAAGTTGCCAAGCTGATAGATATTCCAGTTCTGGTAGCAGAACTCAGTTCACAGTAAATAGGAAAGCAGCCTTTCAAGAACAGCTTGCACTTGGTAAGGGGTAGATATACACTGGCTGCTTGCCCAAAGGTTCTTTTTTGCTTTAAGAGGGACAGAAAATGGGAGAGAAGGATACGGTGAACATTTACTGTTAATTATGTAAGGGGTAAGGAAGATAAAAAATTATACACTGTATTAAGAAAACATGTTCTTTGAATTCCAAGTGCGGTTCCATTAACTCTTCATACTTTCTAAGTGTACAGAAAGATTTCATACCCATTAAGACTCATTTACAGCAAAATTGTAGCAGACTGGTAAATCTGTTCCACTCATGACATCTATTTACAGATCTAGGTGGTTACCTCCTTAAGTGTGTTACTAGAGTTGCACTAGTCTCTCCCTACTAAGGGGACCAGAATGCCATAGATATTTTTCAGTGAACCATTTGATTTCAGTTGTTGTGAGATCTGCCTTATGAATCATTCATTTCAAATAAATAAAAAATTTTCCAGGCCCACTTCCATCTCCAGAGCCATCTAGGACTACAACCCCTCCAGCTTGTGTTATGCAGTGGCCTGATGGGTCCTGTGTCGAGTACTGCAGAGAGTAGGGTATAACATCAGATTTAAGGAGCAGAAAAAACGGTAAAAATAAATCAAGACCATTGTGGTGTCACGTCTTGTAATTAGATGAGGGATTTTTAGTTGTTAAAGCTTGGAAGACGGAGGAAAAGATATTTTTCTAAGTGGCTCCAGCTTACCATCTATGATCACAGCATTCCACCTTCCAGCTTTGTAAGGGCACAGGGAGACGGCAGAGGAAGTTTATTACTACAGTGTAGACGCATGAACCATGACATGGTGTGGTTGTTTTCCATAACAACAGGCTTCCTACTGCTTGGGAAGGCAGAACAGGTTAAACCTATCACTGCTTTTTTTTCCCATGGGGATCGTTTTTTTAATTTTTAAATTTTTTTTTCCCTTTACTGTAAGACTCATTTTCCAGCATTTTGCTAACTTCTAGCTGAAGTATCTGACCGCATTGCTCATTATTCTTTGCTGTGATTATCAATTAAATTCCCACCTGCAGATTTGGAAAAGAAGTTCCATAAACAACCAGCAAGTTATTTACATTAATATCTACTGCAGTTATTTAAGGAAAACCAACAAATGTAGGTCTCTATCTACCTCTACAGGTTAAAAAATAAAATATATATGTTCATGGCACAAATGAGACATCAGCAGAATAGAGTTTGCATAGCCCTTTCTCTTTCAATGGGAGAAATTGCAAGCAGATAAGATGTGAAGAATGGAAAAAAAGAAAAATATGGCACATTAATTTATTTATGATACAATATTGAACATTTAATGTAAAATTAAGTAGACTAAATGGTTTATTAATTACAGAATAGAGAATATACTACTCTTGATTCATACATCTACATAATGTGTTATTATATATCAATAAAACATTTTCTGTTGATTATAGACTTCATGTATTCATCACACCAACATTTTTCTAAGTAGTATACATTATTTATGTAATGTATCACTAATTACCGCAACACCAATTTTTCCTCTTTCAAACAGCCTCTTCAACTCATTTGTGTTGGGTCTTGCCAAATTAATTAGGATGCTGTGCATCCCATTATTTGACTCTATTCAGTTTTCATACTGCCGTACTTCGGTTCTAAAAAAGAGATTGCCCCGCTTCTTAAACAGTTACCAGCAAGCACTATTTCCAGCTTTTTCTTTACCCCACAATGAACCTGGGCAGACTATTAAACGTTGGCATCATGCAATGAACAAAGTGCTATCAATGACTCATTAAAAAAAGGTTACTGGCTGGTGTAAACATAATATACCATATATTACTTAGCTTTATCACATGACTTTATTCATTAAGTTATTAATAACCTTACCTTAAATACCAGTTCTCCTATCAGTCCGTTCCATGACCCATCATCCTGAGGACTCCCATACTTGTGATCCGGGGCAACATAAATTTCGTATTTAAAGCCTAGGTAAGTGGCCAAGGCTTCCAACACGTCTATTGAGAAGCCCTGATACTTCTTCGGTTTTCCCAGGACATTTTCAGACACCATGACAAAGGGCTCTTCCTAAATAGGAAACACAGGAGGCAACTGTTAGTAAAGCAATTACATGCCACATTTGGATGCTGGTTTCTGTAAGAGGAAAGGAGGAACTATTTAAATACTGTATACAAAAAACTTTCCTACAACACATTGTTAGCGGGGCCTCTTGCATTCTGCGAAATGCTATTTTGTTATGTATTTACTTCAACAGATAAATTTTATTCTCTATTCAGAAGTAAATCTTCTGTTGTAACACTACAACTGAAATGCTTTTCAGTAATGCCTGCTAACTGCACTTAGGCTTGGCAGAGCAGACATACACTCAGATGTCTGTCCATGAATACAGAGGATTCTACAGCACTGCCAGTTTCCACTGGCTGGGCAAACACTGTATCTGACAAATGCGACTACTACTTGACGCTGTAAGGAATGAAAAACATGGCAAAATAGGCCACACTGCAGAAATATGCACTTCTCTTGTCCTTCTACTGTAATCTGAATCTGAATATAAGATGGTTGGTTTTAAATAGTTCTATCCAAAAAGCATCCATTTGATTAGTTTAGCAAGAATCAATTATGGGACTTAAGTTTGCCTATAAGAATGATTGGTGAAAATTCATCAAAAAGATGACCATAATAAAGGCTACAAATAGATACTGGAAGTTGGAGTTGGTCAGTAAGATTTCCAAAAAATATGGTTTTCTTTTCCTTTTTTCCAAGATCTGTAACTGTTTTCTCTATTATGTTATCTCACTTACGTTTGTTCTTTATTTTCTCTGAGAACATCTGTCTGATCTACCTAATCAGAGAAAAAAGTATCAAACTCCCCCCAAAAGCATGAGGGCACTGCAACACTTAGGTATTTATTTTGTTTTAAATATGTTACATTTCTGCCTTTTAATTCTTTACATGGTACTGTAATTTAGTATGAGTTTATGAGAAACATCTATCATGAAGTGCAAAAAGTTATCTCCGGCTCGTCATGGCTTGGCCATGACAAGCACATGAAACCACTTCCTGACCACTTCCCCCTAGTCTGCATAACTCAACAAGCATACAGAATAAAAGAGAGTTGATTTTCTGTAGTGTTTGTAGACCAAAATTTAACTGTATCTCCTGAGGCATTTTTGTTGGTGTTTAAATTTTTTTTTTCTTTATTATTCTATGACTCTATTCATTGATCTCTGTCAATGACTTTGAAGCGAAAGTACTTTTCCCAAATTTTTTACTAATACATTACTAAATATTTTTGGTTTGTTATTAGAATCAGAGAATCATTTAGGTCGGAAGAGACCTCTAAAATCATCAAGTCCATCCATCAACCCAACACCACCATGCCCACTAAACCATGTCCCGATGTGCCACATCTACACATTTTTTGAACACCTCCAGGGATGGTGACTCCACCACTTCCCCGGGCAGCCTGTTCCAATGTTTGACCACTCTTTCAGTAATTTTTCCTAATGTCCAATCTAAACCTCCCCTGGTGCAACCTGAGGTCATTTCCTCTTGTGCTATCATTCGTTACTTGGGAGGAGAGACCAAACCTCACCTCACTACAACCTCCTTTCAGGTAGTTGTAGAGAGCAAGAAGGTCTCCCCTCAGCCTCCTCTTCTCCAGGCTAAACAGCCCCAGTTCCCTCAGCTGCTCCTTATAGGACTTGTGCTCCAGTCCCTTCACCAGCTTCGTTGCCCTTCTCTGCACACGCTCCAGCACCTCAATGTCTTTCTTGTAGTGAGGGGCCCAAAACTGCACACAGTATTGGAGGTGCAGCCTCACCAGTGTCGACTCCTGCTGGCCACACTATTCCTCATACAGGCCAGGTTGCGGTTGGCCTTTTTGACCACCTGGGCACACTGCTGGCTCAAGTTCAGCCGGCTGTCTACCAGCACCTCCAGGTCCTTTTCCTTTATTATGTCACTCTATATGAACAGGTATCACTGAATTTCAGGCAAGATATTCTCAGAATAAGAAAGTATCATTTGTAAATGCTTGAGTTAACATTCATGAGGATAGCCACAAGCTGAGGATGCTGCCAAAGCAGCAAGGATGCAACCAGACTGCACTGACAGGATGTTCTCTGACTGCAGAAAATCCAGGGAAAAAACCCAACCCTCCAAAACCAAAACAAAACCCCAAACCAAACAAACAGAAAAACAGGAAAAAAAAAAAAAGCTGAAGGGTTGACTGTCTTAAGTGATCTATTTCCAAGCTGTCAGACAGAAAGTCTTTCTTCCAAATTATCCAAGATCAGCCAAATAGAATAAAAATGGAGGAAAGCAGGTGAATTTTTGAAGTAGTTTTCCAGTGCCTGGGTTCCAAGAACACTGAAGGAATTGAGACCAAGTTGATGAAAGCCTCTCCTAAATGAAAATACAGAGTGAATTCAGCTTTGCTTATCACTTGGATGACAGATTCTCTACATTCAAACTCAAAAGTATTGGAAAAAAATGTTTGCACAAAAAATAAATATTGTAATTCATCAATCTAAGCCAACTATGTACAAAAATCTAAAGATCTGTGTGTACAAAGGCTTTTTAGAAGTTGATAATTTTCATATTAGAAAGGATTTACTCCTATCACTTCTAAGTCATTAGAAAATAGTTGCTCATAAACTGAATTTTTATTCAGCTAGTTAAAAAGCAATTGCTAATTTTACTGATTTAAAACACTGTTTAAAATGCAGTTTGTCATGGCTAATTTAAGTCTTTTACTAAGCTATGTAATATTTTTTGTTGTTGAGAGATTTACAAAAAAACCCACCAAAACAACGTCCAGTGTGCTAGATATTTAATGAAATACAAATAGTCAAATAGCTTTAATGAAAGCAACTAACACTTCCCAATTTCTGTTGAAGCCTGGAGCAGCAAAATATTTAATCATATTCAAAATAAACCAAAACAAATCTATTGCTTTAGTTTTTTGTAATTGTCCACATTTCTCAGAAGGCTTGAAAGAGGACAAAAATATCTGTCCTGATGTCTTTCCCCTACAAATGCCGCAGGCTGAAACTATACCAATTGTCCTTTTCTGCAGGGTATTATGGGAGCTCCTATGGAAAGACATATACATCCCTACAATATTGATGTTAAAATGATTGTCTCCGTTCTTGACAAAGCAGATCTTGCAGAAAGAAAATACACAAAGCAAAACCAGCCAATATATTTCTCACCTACTGAACAGAAAAAAAAATGAGAACAAAAAATAAGCTCATAGCAAGTGGGTGTCAAAACTGACAAGCTAAATGATGAGTTTGGACATGGCAAAATTCACCTGGATGACGAAGCTTCTATTTGACCCCAAAAATTCAAGAAAATCCTAATATACTTTCTCTCCAAAGCAAGTGGTAGTTCAAACTATATAAGCACATCTTTCTCAGAGAAGCCATACAATCACCATCCTTGGAGATACTCAAATCTCACTTGGACATAATCCTGCTCTAACATTAACCCTGCTTCATGCAGATGCTGTCCAAGCATCCCTTCAAACCCAAACTGTTCCAGGATGCAGTGAAGTGATCAAGGAAGGCCACTATTCCTGCTTCTCCTGTATACTTCTGGAGACACCTCTCCAGGGGACTGATGAACCTCTGTGGGGCAAGAGCAGACTTCACAGCCTGTAAAGCCAGGGAAGTCTGGAAAAGCAAAGAAGTTACAAGGTGCATCACTGAGGAAGAAAAAAAAGGAAACTAATGAATTGCTCCCCCTTAACTTCTTGGTTTCGCAAGATGGATGATCTGCCTCACGGGGCCCCATAGTCATCAGATATTTATTAGGGGATGGCTTTGCATCCAACTTCAGCACAGATCCTTTAAGAGAGGAGCTACTCTTTTCATTCTACTTAACCCCCAATGTGCCTCCTTGTCAACTGAATGCAGCACTACTAAGCCTGTGATAAGGGCTCCTTCTCAAAACAGCTGCACAGTTACCACCGTCTGGTTTCTTCCTGGGATCTAAGCTGTGATGCCCTGACACAGAGGAGGATGGGTTTAAGACTCGATGTGGATCAAAGGATTTTACACAGTGTTGTGGGTTAAGCCCAGTAGACAGCCAATGCTACCTGCAGCAAAATGAAAGTCAGTAGCAAACGGGTAAAGTTTATATTGCGTGAAGCTGTGCATATTGCTTTTTACAGCTGTAAGAAGGCAAAGCCTGGTTCTAGAGATAATTACCCCCTGAGCAAGCAAAGCTGCAAAATGTTTGCAGACTAGCAATCTTAGGAAGGCTAAAGGCAGACCCAAGATTAGGGCAACATGGCATAACAAAAGGAAAGTGTTGGGAAAGATGACATGATAGTACAAGTACATTGGAGAAGCAGCTCACAAAACGACTTGTCTCCATCCATTTATCTATTATCACTAGGTTTATAAAACTTTTCAAGGAAGCAGCTACACATTAAGACTGACATAGGTTAACAACATGCTACATATTAAGACTGATATAATTTAACATCTTCCTCCCACCAGAGCAACTAGCTACCTGCTCATGCAATAGCTCTGCCGATGCTTGTTTCCTTTATTAAAGTAATTCTACTACCCAATCATCACGAATCTACTCAATTTCTGTCAGGTGAGTTGACATAATTGCCAGGGGTCAGACAAATGCCACCCAGGACAAGCACTGGAGTAAGAACCTACAAGCAGCAGTAAGGGAAGTACCAAGAATGTGCCCTTAATAATATCAGAGAATGGTTAAGCAGCTCAAAAATCTTACCCAAACCTATTTTCACATGTTTAACACGATATTATTTGAGCACATTTCACAAATTAGGGTTTATCGCTGAAATGCTAGGTTGAGTAAGAAGAGTTATCATCACCATTTTCCACACACAGAACTGAAACGCATATATTTCATGACTTGTACAGCTGAGAAGTGAATCCAAGTGTGCTGAGTCAGGGACAAATGTCTTAACCATAGACTGTTTTCCCTCTCATTTTAGTGCTTTAAAATGTTTGTACTTACATATGTATGTGTTCTGGCGAATCACTAGCATAAAAGCAGGAAAACCAGCAGTAGAGAGCAAG